ATCTGTACAGTCAACTAGTGCTCACTAAGAAAAAGCCTTGAACGACGTTAAACTTTCATCATTTAATAACGTGGGTGTTTTTCAATGTCACCCTTTGTGACTCATATTGTCGTAAATGGTGTTACTTCTCCTATCTGGAAGCCAAGGATAATTTCTTTCGGTGAGTGGATTGAATGTGACACGCGAACGCGCGCCTGTAATATCGATTTCACACTATCAGCGTCACATTTTCAGGAGCTGCGAGATGTCTGTGAAGAAACCTCGGTGAAATACGTCCGTCCGTCTGATATCATACAAATTACCACAACGCTGAAATACTGCACATATGTTCAGGGCACCCCAAGTAGCATCTCCCAGACTCAAAATAACATATTGCCATTTGACATGTCATGTGGGAGACAACGCGATATGCATCCGGCAGGATATATTTTCCTGACTTCCTTGGGCTTTGCGGCATATTACAACGCCTTTGTGCCGTTCTACGTATCTGTCATGTATCTTTATGTTTGAGAGCCCCCAAAATGCGTAGATCTGAGCGTCACAAATTGCCAATAAACGAAAATTCGTGCAAGTACCTGATACATTTTTTGCCAAATTTCGTCCTGATGGAAGGAGTTTTTTATTTTTCGCTGACATGCAATGCATGCATGTTACACGTGCGAAGTTGTTATTTCCAAGGTTTGGATGCTGCTGGAACACGAACATTTAAATGACACGGTATAATATTTGGTAGCTGGATGGAGCCATGCGAGGTGAATGTTTGTGCCAAATTTTGCGACAATCAGAGGAGTCTGCGAAGGTGGAAAAACGATCTTCAAATGTGAAGTATTTAATTTGCATGTCACATTTCGCATGATTAAATGTAATATGACCTGCCATGTGACAGACAATGAACAAATGCATCCTGTAGGATGCAGCATTCCTTAGCCTTGGTTTCATGTTGCGACGCTGCTGGTGTCGTTTTCATGCATATGTCATGCATCCCATGCTTGAAAGCCTCTAGAATGCGTAAATTTAAATGTCACAAATTGCCACTCAACAAAAACTGTACACGTACATGATGTGCTTTTTTGTGCTAAATTTCAAGCTGATCGAAGGAGTCTCGCTGTCTTATAGCTGGCATGCAATGTCTGTATGTTAACGCCTGCAGGGACGTCATTTCCAAGTTTTCAAGGCTTTTAGAAAACAAACGTTTAAACGCCTCGATTTTATATGTGGTGGTTAGGTGGATTTTCATGAGGTGTATGTTGCTGTCCAATCTGAAAGCTTTTGGGTGCCCAATTTTTATGACCTTGAACTTTTACGGTTGTGTATGGGCGTGATTTCGAATGTAATAGGTGGAAGTGGGATTTTTTATTTGAGATGCTTTGTTCTATCAACGCGCGTGCACCATCAAGAAACCAAATTTGGCCAAAATCTGCGTGGTTAGCGAACGTTTACCAAGAAAAAGCTTTCAACGACGATGAACATTGATGATTCAACGGCGCGATTGTATTTTAATGTCGCACTTTATGGCTGATATATTTGTAAATGGTGTAACTTGCCGAAGCTGGCAGCCAAGGCTCGTTCATGTCGGTGAATTGCATGAATGTGACACGCGAAATTGAGTCTGTAATATCAGTCTAACATGGCGAGCATCACATTTCCAGGAGCTGTGAAATGTCTGTGAATAAACCTCGCTTAGAAACGGGCGTCTGTTTGATATCATACAAATTGTTACAGCGCTGAAATTCTGCACATATGTCCAGGACACCCCAAGAAGCACCTCTCAGAATTAAAGTTATGTGCGTCTTGTGTTGCACTCAGCCGAAAAGTCTGTAAACGGCATGGCGTGGTTTTTAGTCCGCCAACATTAATATATCCGTAGAAAAGCCCACGCGTTAAAAGTCCACTGGCACCAATTTTTTGTTGCGTGAAATAAATGCAAGAGAAGCTGCGCGAGCGAAACTAACGCAAGAAAGCAAAGGACCATAACCATAACGAGCGAAAAAGGGGGTGAAAACCTGTGGAGGAATGGATCTGGGAAATAGAATGGGCAAGGTTCATGATTTTGGTTCCACAACTAAAACGACAGTGTCCCACCCCTAAATGTACATGATCCTAATAGTGGTGTGTTTAAGAAGCCTGCTACCTATACTCAGAGTTATACGATTGTTTTTTTTGTTGCCCGGTATTCCTTTCCTGCCCAGTAATCCAGCATAACAAGGATTAGGAGAGATTTTGAGCGGGGGCGGGCTGAAATCAGCATTGTTGGGCTTAGGCCACGTAAAAGTCTATGAAGTAACTCCCTTCGTTGCAGTTCCTTTCTCCGTTCCAACTAAAATAGAATTGAGACTCTGAGTGCCGTTAAAGCGCGCATGAACATTTGCATCCGGTTCAGCCACGCCGCATCAGTTTAACATAACCGCTTTTCATTGGAAGGTTCGAACGGCCTCGTCCGCAACGTGCCGTGTGTCTCTAACCGCCAACCGCCGCATTTGACTTCCGTTTCCATTCCGGCGCTCCGACGCGTGTTTGTATTCAACACGTTCATCCGTGCAAAGCTGAATCTGCTGAGTTTGGTGACTTCTTTCGATATCTGAAACAGTGCACGTGATTGTTGAATGCTGCTGATGTATGCGATGGAGTTCTCGAATGAGGAGAAAGTGATGCATCTGGTCAGCGAAGACAAGGATGTTGAGAAATCTCTGCTTTCCCTGCCAACTGAAATTTTGGAACATGTCTTGTGTTTCCTGAGTATGGAAGACCTTGTATCTGTATCACAAGTATGCAGGAGGCTTCACGATGTCCATACCTCAGAAAAAGTATGGAGATTCGGTTTTATGTCCAGGTGAGTGGTCTTGTTAAGGTGTAATTTTGCTGAGAATGTTAACTTTCCATCACTGAAGATGTGGGGTGCTCCTACAGCTGACAAGTCAATGACAGTTATAATTATTGCCAGATGGAACACAATGAGAACAATTACACAAAAGTACATCAGTTTGATGTATATGTATATGCATATGCATCCATAGTTGTGGCTTGAAGGGATGTCAGCTACATCAGTATCTGTACCGGCAGTTGTGAGCAGTACATCCTTTTTATGCAAATGTAACTGACACCGCATAGGATGTATAAATGCATGTAAATTGACTTTTTGATTTGTTGTACTTATTTGTGTATACACTTCTCTGATTGTGTAGTTTTTGTGAGGTTAGAGAAACATTGAAGGTCAGACCATATGCAAATCAAAGGGAGGTAGTGTCACACATGTTGTATTGATAATTCTTACAAGGTATATCAAGCTTGCATTTGCCCTGGATGTTTTTTTCTTCAGGCAAATGTCACCATCATGAAGAAACATGCTTTCCATTTACCAAATGTGCAATTCACATACAACACTAAGTTTGGGTGTGTTGCATGCTGTGTGCGCTAGGTACAGTGCATGTGTTTAAAAAGCAGTGTCTGGAAATGCTGTGCAGCTTATAAGTTAGTTGTACAGCACAGATTACCAAATGACTGAGAAAGTGACACCCCTGGTCATAGCCATCACTTATGGTCTTCCTCATCAATGTCATTTGGGCCAGTTTTCATTCATTTTTCATTGCATCATGGTGTAGTCATTCCAACAAGATGCAAAGTATTTTTTGACATTGTTTTTTCCATGCATCATGCTAAACTATTTCCTCAAGCAAAACCTGAACTATCAGCAATGAATAGCAGTCACATGGATGAAACAGTGAACGGGTAGAGAATGTTGATGGATGCAATAAGTGCAACTCCAACTCAACAAGTGGATGACATTTTCCCTTTGTTTTATTGTTTTAAAAGGCTTGTTCACTGTCTTTTTCATAATCTAGGTTCAGGTACAACAGTGTACCCATAAATGTAATTTGCTGCTCTTAAGTCTTTAGTGTTGACTTTTCTTCTAATTTTTCATATCACCAAGTTATGCCCTAGGACTGTTTATCCAGTTCTGTATTAGCAATTTCTGTCAACCAATGTTGCAGTACATGGAGACTGGGGCTGAAAATGAGTCAGCTGTTTGCAAACTCATTGGTGGTATTATGGCATATTGAAAGTCATATGGTGTCATACCTTATGGCAAGGTGCTCAAAATCATGCTCCTCATTTCCCCCCATTTCCAGAGAGGGTCTACATGCGCTGTAATGTTTCAAAGACATCCACCACTTCTTATTCAATCTTCATTGTATTGATCCACAGAGTTTCCCTCCAAGTCACTATTTCCATCTCTGAAATGCTTGTCAGCATATTCAACCTGCTAGTGGGATGCTCAAAGCACTTGATCTATCACTATCCTGGGGGGCACTCTGTCAGGTTATCTAGATGACTAAGGCCAAACTATCTCAGGTTCATGCAGCATAATGTTGATAGAAGTCACAGTATCATTGCTTTCTTCATCATATTACAAACTGTTGCATTCATGCATACTACCACAAGTCTATTTCAGGATTTTAAATTCCGTCAATGCCCCCACCTTGTCAGATTCCTGTTTTCAGTTGCTTTTCAGAGTTAGCCATGGCGAATGTATGGGAGGTTGGCAATTTGCAAAACATTATTTGATTGTTTGCTTCTTTGCATATTCATTGTGAAGCACATTCCTTGAAGCATATTCCTAAGAAGCATATTCCTTTGCATATGATTGCTGCTCTTTGCATATTCCTTGTGAAGATGGTATTGATTTAATCACCCTCACTGCGCACAGTGCCTTGGCCGAGATTTTCTGAGACAAAAGCGATGTTAAGCTACGTCTTTCATCTAGTAGACCTCCTCCCGAACCCCGTTTTCGCCTCAATGGCGACGCCGTTGTCTTTTTTCGCAGGTACCCGCGCTTGGTGCAGCCCTCGTGCCGACCTGCCTTGCTGCGCGTGTTTGAGCGGTGCGGATGCAGCTGGCGGCGCACTGCGAGGTTCCGCGCCTCGGCTGGCCATCACCTGCGTACAGCCCTAGCCAAGATGGCTGACAGATGCTACGCAGTCGACTGCCTGCCGGATCCCGCCATGGAGGAGTTCCGCAAGCTGGTGCCCGTCCATGGTACCCTGTTCGATCGGGATGCCCTTCTGGAGGTCATCTACTCGCGCCAACACCGTCCGTAAGTTGGATTACATAATCGGTGTGCTGTGGTCTCGGCAGTTTGCTTAAATTTATAAAATTGGCCAAGCATAAATTGCAAGGCACATATGTGAAGCACTGCCATGTAGTATCTACTTCACTTGACCCGTCACGTGCCACTTCACAATTTTAAAGGATATGGTGAAGATCACCCAGTTACTGAAGTGTAGATTTCCTTGCACGCCATGATGGTTATTTGCGAAGCTTCTGAAACGTCTTGTCGTTCCAAACGATAATTGAGTCGTATGGAACGCCGGCGGTAATTTGTGAGGGACCGTGCTATCCTTGACGACAGTCTCGCCTTTTCATCTCAGTCTTAAATGACAGTTGTATCTCGGATATGTCTGTGAGACGGCACCAAGAATGGCTCAATTTCTTACTCCCAAGGGCCACTGCCATGCCTTGCTCGTGACTTAACGTCGATCATCGCACCGTGCCAGTTTGTCTATATCGCACGTACCAGGCTGGTTTATCCACCATCACCATCATGCACTTATGGTATATTCTGTTATCACGTAGCTAATGTAAAGACCAAACCAGCCTATTCGCTCCAGCAGTTAAACTCATTGACTTGTAACTGAGCCCCGGACGTCGCACTTTGCGTTCGGAACGAGAAAATGCTGTCTGAGGCACGTGTGTAACACTATCCGCTTTTGGGCAGGGATGATGACCTGTCTGTGCGCTACTACGCGCGGATGCTGTTCCGCGAGATCCAGCGAGATGTCGTGCTGCTGCCCATGTTCCGGGAGTACATGCAGCGGCCAGTGCAGCATCTGAACGTGCCCGAAGCCTTCTATCTGATGAGCCTCTGGATGGTTCCGGAGCAAACCGACAACCGAGAGTCCAATCTCCATACGTGAGTCTTTTATCTCTTTTCGAATCGTTCGATTTCCATATGGAATCCTAGGCCTTGCGCGCAAACATTCTGCCAGCTCGGTTGTGTTTCTGATGTGTATGAAGGTCATGCTAATGGGAGCAAGCTTGCATATGTCAAGTCCCTTTTCTGTGTTCATTCGTGCGGATGACACTCGATTGCAGGCGGATGTTATCTACGGTTATCGAATCCACCTTTCCCTTTATCACTTGCTCCAGCCAAATACCACGATGTGTTGTGCGTTGCTAGAAAGGCGTCACCAGAATTTGACATGCATTCTAACAAGCGATTTGGTCGAATTTCTTGTTGTTTTTTGGTGCTGAATGTGGTATTTGTCCGTGCTGTTCAAACAGCGTGATCGCCGTGATCGCGTATATTATATATCGCCGTCAGGGTGATGGCACACAAGGCACTCATCTCTCCCATTTCTTACGTCTTAGCTTTTTAACGTTCGTATCCCTGTCTCTTGCCCCCCCCCCCTCCCCCGGAACAAAGATGAACTCGGATGTGCACGTGCGAGTCTTGACCTGGCGTGGTCTCTGCAGTTGCTACAGCAAGATCGCCGGCTTGGTGTTGGATGAGCTGCGTGGACGGCTCCCCGAGCACCCGGCCGCCGCCTGGACTACGTGCAAGAAGAACCCGTTCGGACCCACGATGTGGACGGATGACCAGACGCTGAAGCTGCTGAACGCGATGAACGTGGTGCTGTATGACCAGCTGGCCCTGATGAAGGAGGGCGGACCGGAGGACGGATCGGCTTCCGAACTGAGCTCGCTGGTAAGTGGATTGCAATGAAGATTAATCCTCGTTCCTTGCACGTTTGAATGGGTGAAGTCACGTACAGAACATGTGCAGACTTCTATGTCTGATCTGTTTTTCTTCGTGTTGTTCTCAATGGTGGGCTGTGACTTGAAAAACAATGCTGTCAGCCATACGTTCCCGTCCGTTTGCCCTGAGGCGTATTACTGTGCTCCTCTCAGATGGCGCAACACCGAACACGCTATTGTGATGTGTGCACAATCTCGAACGGTGACGGTGATGATTGACTATGATAACCATGATTAAGCGCTTGCTCATGCGGTTGTCACCAACATGTGTTGTTTTGGCTGGGTCAGTGTGGTTTAATTTACTGTTGTTTACATTTTCTTGCTATGCACTGGTGCATCTCAGTAAACAGTGCTTTTGGAGCCTATTGCTGCGTTTATGAATGAATGGGCTGATGGGCTCTTCGTTCTGAATATTTGTAGGTGATTGGGTTGCATGGAGCGCAACGCATTCAATGGCTTGCCATTCCTTTTCAGGTTATGTACCTTCGTCGCCACCTCCACTCTGCGGGATCCGGGACGCAGACTGTAATGGGGACAGTGTACTCCTCTGTAGCCGGCATGCTGGGCGTCAATCTCCACAACGTGCAGTTACCGCACAGCTCGATGATCTGCTGGCACAAAGCGTAAGCATTGCCGAAGGGGGCGTGGGAAATGAGTCTGTTCCTCTAGCACTATCAACGGCATTGGGACAGACTGGTTGTTCAGGTCATGGGTTTTTGGGAGGTCTTTTCAGGTCTGCTTTATCAATTGGTATCTAATAGCCTATTTTTTGAATTTTTTTGCCATAGGTTTTGATTTCATTGCCATAGATTTTGAACTTCTGTGATTAGTTGTGCACTTAACTATGTTTCCTTGAGCTAATCATGTGATGTGAATCAGTGATGTTATGCACATCATGTTTATGTTGCTTAAGAATATCGTGATTCCCAAAGAATTTGACAACTATAGAATTTGGCTGTGGATGATTTGATCACATGCATACGGAGCATGTTCATCTTATTATTCGCCTAATTATCACGTTGGCAATTAACTAATGTTTTGTAACTGCCGTGATCACACATGTTTGGCGAACTTCTAGCGTTCTTCCCTACATCTTGGTACAAAGCTCTGGCATGTGTGCCTGAATGTCTGGGCAAGTTTTCAATGTAAGGCAGGTGTGCATAATGTGTAGACAATATATGCAAGCCAGGGTGTTTTGGGTGCTGCAGTAAATTGTGATATTTGTTAATAAGGAATGTCGCTAATTGGTTGAAATGTAAGCCTCATGGGCGATTGGATTCCTTCCGTGTGGGAGGCTGATGAGAAACTTGCTCTGTGCTAAAATAAATTGAAAGATAAATAGATGTCGACGATTATAAGTCATCCTTTGCAACATAATAATCATACCAAACCTTGAAATTTGCTACCACAATAGTCGAAAACACCTGTTACGTGTACACAACTCGTCATCACGTACAAACGTTGCATATTTTGTTGGAGTGGAATGTGTGTGTCATTCATGATCAGTGCTGCACTCAAGTGAAGTGAGCAATTAAAAGTGGTGGCACTGTGTTACATGTCATATTTAGCTAATGACCTTCTTCCTTTCCTTCAGTGGAGCCTTGATTATTTTCCAAACTGTTTTCTGACAAGAATACCCGAATTATCACCGGCGTGATCAGCGTTATCACATTTTCTCCGTTGCTGAGAATATGTATCATCTTGTCTGTTTTGACATCTTGATTTTCATCCATTCATAATCACAGTAGCATGCTTTAAACACAACATTCTTATCGCATAAACTGAATCGCATTCATTCACAGTGTGTTGTCGTTTTGTGTAAATTCAACATAATCATGCACTGACTGTACTTGTCTTGCCTTGTTTGTTTGTCACTGTGCTTGTATGCGTGTTTGTTTGTGACTGCGAATATCTGTGCTGTACAGTGACGTATTCCTATTCACGTGTCACATGTGGAAATTCACACAGTGTGTGTGGTGGCCTGACGTGCATCTCCTCTGGCAGGGACGGTGAAGAGTACCTGTTCATCGACGTTGTCCGCCGCGGCATGCGGCTGTCCTGGGAGCAGGTGCTGGAGGAGCTGAATGCTGATCACCGGGAAGTGGACCTCCAGATGCTGGAACCCTTTCCCAGGGCAGGGGTGCGTAATGCATCGGATGTTTTGAAATTCTTGGACAACAGGCCCTGTTACGTATGGAACTTGTTTATATTTGACAAGTATAGCATTTTATTTAAAAAGTTCTTGCATGACTCATTTGTGCAGAGAAACCAAATTGAACAGGGACCGACTCATTCTTAGACTGGGCGCACGGGAGTCCCAGGTTGAGGATTTTGTGCTCTTACATGAATCTATGAGAACCAGCAGTCTTGCGACGGCTTGTGACGAGCCCTTGTATCTGTACGCTCTCGTGTGTCCGGCGGTGTGATTGTGATACCAATCCTTGTCTAACGCAGTGTATTGTGTTTTGACAGCTGCTGCGTCGCCTCATCAATGGCGCAGTCCATCCGGATGCCCGCCGGCCAGGGACCGGCTTCGACCTGGTCTCGTTGGAGACGCTGGCGTGCTGGGCCCGCAGCGACTGCCGTCCGAACACGGCCGCAATCGTTGACCTGATGTCGACGATGGCTCGTGCCCGGCCCATGTACACGCGCCGCCTGTTGCAGGTCAGTGGTCTTGGATGACGCTAGAGCTGGGCATGTGTTTTGAACAATTGTTGGAAAGATGCGTCTGGGTCACTATTATGTGCGCGATGAAAATGCACGATGGATGTGTAAGATACGCATGTGACTTTTAATATGCAAGATGACGTTCTGGTCTCATTTTCGGTTCCCAGAAATCTCCAGCTCGTAAATGGCCTGCAATGGAGGGCTGTGCGCTGCGCCCATGGTGTTGCAATCAAAAGAAATGGCGATATGATAAGGAGTAATTAGTGATACCGTGTTTTCACTGTTTTTTCCTCCCTGCAGCAATTCGTCGAGACTAATGGCTCGCTCGTGGCTGAGAACGAGAGGCGTGGTCTGGAAGCGCTCATGAAACACTTCAAGAGGATATACAAGCGGCTGGTGCGCTCCCTAGACGAACAGGAGGCTGAAGTGCAGAAAGTGGTAAGAATGAACTGGATTTGATCAAATTGACAACGTAGGGAGTTAATCGTGTAGCTTCTCTTAATTCTATGCTGAGCTGTTCATGTGCATGTGCTGATGTGTGGGAGGTGGAAACGGGTTTACGCGTGCGCCAGTTACGCGGTTGAGTGTCATGGTGTGTTGTTATGTATAATGATATGCCTGCACACTTATAAGTTAGTTTTATCTCTATTTGGTAAGGTTAAATAGTTTCGTGAAACAGGTTTAACCCCATACATAAGCATCATAAGCATCGTAAATTTGTGATGCAGGTTGAATCATTTCGTAGAAATTCATTTCTGTACGGTTGTTTTCTTCCATTTACTTTCTGTGATTTGTTGTGGGATTTCCTGCAGACATGTGACCCTGGATTCGTTCCTGCTATTGTCCTTTGAGCCCATTCGTGCACCATTATATTGTCAACCTGTTGTCTGATCTATGGAATGTATTATTAACTTCCCAGTTAGTAACGTTCTCAGTTAGTTTGTAGTGAGTTGTCCTCACCTCATAAGTAACCTACATGGCGCTTGTTTCGAGCATTTATGGATGTGCTATTTTCCCACGTTATTAGTTTCTGGGCTTACTGATTCTCGTTTTTGTCTTCTCAGCTCATGTTCTTCTCAGTTATTTCCAGCGTCCCAATGCCCGTTTTAAATCCTGATGTCTCATTATCTCCTTGTGTTGTGTGCAATATCCTCATTCTCTTTATCCGTGTTTCAGGCGGACCTCCGCGCGGCTGGCCGAGCAGTGGGCGACTACCGGAGGCATTTTGGTGTGGGTGACGTCGTCACGTACGGCGACGGGTGCCTGGCTGTGGTGTACGGCTGCTCACCATGCTACGAGATCTCACAGGTAGGAGCGGTACCAGTGGGATTGTCGTACAGGGCAGACCCTGCCTGAGGTCATTTGTCCTATTGTGTTGAGAATTGGTGTAGTGAGGTAATATTTTCTGAGGACTCAAAGGAACTGCTTTGTACTGTTGTTGCTTCTCTCAGGGCAAGCCAATCACCGCATGCATAATCATTCTTTCATTGTGTGACTTGTGCTATACGAACCCCCACAACCATCGAAGTTGTTTCTTCTGTAATGGAGGATATGCGATGTGTGTAATATTTTGGTATTTTGTGTATGTACTGAGGTCAGGTGTAATTTCGCAATGTCCTGTCTGTCTATACATCGTTTTGAATGTGTGCCCTCGCTGTATGGCAAACATCTATTGTGGTTTCATACAAGTATGTTGCAGTGGTCATATTCCCTGCTTGATTCGAAGAACCAATCGATGCATCGGTGATAGGCACGTAAATGTATCAACTTGTTACAGTTGTGGCTAGACGCATGTGAGCTCTTAAATGGTATTCCTGCGAAGTCTCAGTGCCCCCCCCCCCCCTCCCCCCCCCGTCCTCATCTCTGACGACGGCCGTGCGGTGTGGGTTATTGTGCTGACTCGGTGGTGTTTTTCAGGACTGGACGGCAAATAGTCGCGTGTGCTCCGGGCTTCAGCGCGGACACAAGCAACCCTTCTACAGCTTGCTGCTGGAGGGTGACCGGTTCGGATACATGGCTGAGGGTAAGCAGGCTCTTCAAAGTGCTCTTCACTCTATTGGAGTTTTTACCTTTACTATTGGAGTTTTTACATGGACCCTCCCCCTCCTGGTGTTTGAAATATGGACAGGGTGCCATAAATATTTTGTTTGGTTGCATTGGACATGCTTTATGTTTTCACGAAACTCCGATATTCAGTCTGGCATGTGTACCCTGATGTACCCTGATGCACCCTGATGTAGGTTACCCTGATGTAGGTTTTCCAGCATCTTCTGTAATTTTTAGTCGTCATAAGGTTATGATTTGAAAGGCATCTTCATTACACAACCATACTGGGAAATGCACTATTAAGTTCAATTCACGCCCATGACTGCTACTCAGAATATTCCTAGGTCGTCCCCAAACCACAGCAGATTGATGAGATGTCACAGATGTCATTACTCATCCATACTGGGAAATGCACTATAAAGTGCATTTCACGCCCATAATATTTTGTGTGGTTGCATTGGGCATACTTTATGTTTATTACGAAGCTCCTATATGAGTTTGACGTGTGTAATACCCTGATGTAGGTTTTCCAGCATCTTTTGTAATTCTTGGATTATCGTATGTTTTTATGTGTCACTGAATTTCATTGGTCATCGTAATGTCATAATTTCAAATGCATCTTTATTACACAGACATACTGGAAAGTGCACTACATATGGCAATTCACGCCCAGAACTGCTACTCTCAGAAATATTATTAAGTGATCCCCAAACGACAGCAGATTGATGAGATGTCTTGCTCCATTCTGGCGTAGAGCGCCACTTGCGTCTGCGTCTAACAGAGGTATTTGGGTC